TGGTGCTTTGTTCACTGAAATGTTATTTCAGAAGATTATATTTCATTTTAATGACTCTCATTGCTGGGAATCCAAACTCTAATTCCCAAGGTGTTCTCAAATTATCATCTGCATCAGCTTCTGCCATAGCCATCTCCCCTCCAGTGTCACCAACAATATGGTTACTAAAAAAACAACTTTTAAAAAGTGTTTGCTTCCTTTTTGGTACTAAGGACAGTGATTTCTATAATGGTAACAATCGCAGTGATTCTCAAAATATGGTCTGGAGACCCCTGAGACCTTTTTAGTGGGTCTGTGAGGCTAAAATTATTTCGTACTAATTCTGACACTTCTTTTTCTTTTTCATTATTATTTGCACATGACATATATTGCAACAGATTGCATGCCTAAGCAAATATAAGAATTCAATTGTCTTTTATTAAACAAGACATTAGAGAGATTTGCAAAAATGTGTCTTTCTTTTTATTGAACATATAGCTATTTTTCATAAAATATGCTTGCTAACATAAAATGGGTTTATTATTTTTAAATGAATTAGCCAATTTTTTTTATTACTATATAATATGGTAAATGTCAATAATTATAACCTACAGAAACAAAATTCTTTGGATCTCAAAGCTCCACCACCTAACCTGCTGTAGATCAAGGCTCAAAAGAGCCCTGGAAAACTCCATGGTGCTTTGTTCACTGAAATATATGTCAGGACAGCATATTTCATTTTAATGACTGTCACTGCTGGCATCCAAACTGTAATGCTCAAATAATGCTCTATATCACTTCATTACTTTTTAGGCATGTAAGCGGGCCTGGCGTAGTGGCTCATGCCTGTAATCCCAGCACTTTACAGACTGTCATCTATACTTTGGGAAGCAAAGGTGGGGGTGGATCATGAAGTCAGTAGTTCGAGACCAGCCTGGCCAAGATGGTGAAACCCTGTCTCTACTAAAAATACAAAAATCAGCCGGACACAGTGGCAGGCACCTATAATCCCAGCTACTCAGGAGGCTGAGGCAGGAGAATTTCTTGAACCCAGTAGGCGGAGGTTGCAGTGGGCCGAGATCACACCACTGCAGTCTAGCCTGGGTGACAGAGCAAGACTCTGTCTCAAAATGAAAAAAAAAAAAAAAAAAGTGTAAGTGGGTCATGAGACCAGAAGATTTGAGAACTGCTGCCTTAGGGTATACACACTAAAAATGTTCATTTATGTTCAAATGACTATTTTTCAAAGTATTCGGAGTATTCCTTTCTGTACACTTATGATCTTGATATACAAATCCATTTACTTCATTTTGTTGTTGATATTTAGGGATTGGACCTTTTAATATTTGGTTCTACCATTATATAAAATATTGTTATATAATCCCAAGGTAAAAAAAATATATATCCAAAGAGATCTTTCTCCTCCATCCTAATAGCCTCTCTTACCTTAGAGTACTAATTTTAAATGTTATGAAATATCCTTCTGTTGTTTATTATAAGCATATATGTATGTATTCTTAATATCCTTCTATTAAACAGTAATATACTGCATAACAATTTTCTCTATCTTGCTTATTTCACTTTTATATATATTAGAGACCATTTATAATAGGGAAATTTTCCTCCTTAATTATTTCCCAGCTGCAAAATACTCTGGATTTTTTTCCTTTGCAGATTCTTGGTGTGTAGTTCTTCCTTGTCTTGAAAGCTGCCTGAGAGTTTTGAAGAAGTTAAGGAAATGCCACCTCAAAATATGTCACTGAGGGAACTTAGGGAACAGCAAATACAAGGTGGAACTTTCTCTGAATTCCCCATATTTGCATACAGGCAGTCCCTCCAAAAGGAACTCAAGTGTCACCTGTCCCCTCCCAATCTCGTCACCCAGAGAAGATTAACTTGTATCACAGGGGAGGAGACTGGAAATTGATATTATGCAAGATAAACCTTGTCACAGACGGTCATCTATTCTTTGGAGGACCCATTCATCTTTCCCCAAAATCATTTCCTCTCCCCTACATTGCCTACGTCCCTCTTCCTCTCTTCCCTCTGAGAGTATAGAAACTTATAGATCTCAGGGGATTTGGAGGCATTCACTTCTCTTTCATGTGATAACTCCATGCACAAAATAAATTTTTTTCATCTTTTATTAATCTGCCTGCTGTCAATTTATTTCATACACTTAATTATCAAACCCTCAGAGGGCAGAGGGAGTCTCCCCTCCCCTACAGTTTCAATCAGATTGTTTTCTAGTTGTTTTAAGCATCAGGGTTGATCTAAGATGTCCAGTCTACCCTTATTGAAAATAATTACTGAAAATAGAATCAATAGTATAGTATTTGTTAACATGTTTTAAAAATATCAATAACTAAATTATCCTAGGACTTCCAATTCTTAAAGTTCTTCAAAATGCAGTTGTATAAAATGATATACATCAGTGCCTTCATACTCTCTGGTCCAGGAGTGGATTTCCCATGTAATAATTCAAATTCTCACTAATGATATTGAAGTTAGCAAATTAGTTGCCATGTTGATTCAGTTGTGTATCACCAAAGAAGTGAGTTGCTAAATTATGGGGAATTCAGCATTAGAACTAGAGGAAGAGACTAAACAACCTACTGTTGGATCAATAAATCATGCTTGAAAATTTAAACAGATCGATGACTTTTACAGTTCAAGTGCCTGTGAAGTCCAAAATAAAAATACAGACATTGATTGCACTACCTTATTGGTAGAAGAAATAGTGGGTACCTTAAAAAGTGCATATCATATGGGAATCAAATCTCTTGAAGGGTAGGCTAGTGGTAGAAGAAATAGTAGCTATCTTAGGAACTACATGTTATATTTGAATCAAGTCTCTTGAAGGCTAGGCATTTCATCCTGACTATATTTTTGCAGGATTCTCACCAAACAGCTTAACATTCAACCATCAAAATGTGTTCACTTTACCATCTGGAACATTTTAATCAAACCTGTCATCTGCTGAATCACATCTTTCACTTCAGAAAGAACTTTCACTTCTGCATTGTTTTTCAGAACTATCTGTATCCACCACTCTTCACATTAAGATGATCCTTCTCAAGCCATCATAGAACTAAGTGACATCTGCAATGAAATGTCTTCACCACTTCTGTCCTCTGACAATCCTTCTATCTATTTTTGCTGGATCTAATTCCTGAAGATCATCCTGACTTTCTAAGGGATGCTTCACTCTTTCAGCTACCTTCATGTCTGTTAATGCAATTGTTGTTTCTTTCTGTCCGGGTGTTAAGACTTTGGCAGTAGCCACACCCATGGAGCATAGACTTCTACAAGGCACAAAGTATAACTTTGGTTTTTCACTTGTAATTTGATGGAATTGGCAGGGCGTGGTGTCTCATGCCTGTAATGCCAGCACTTTGGGAGGCTATTCATTGAGCATTCTACCTGGAGGCCCCAAAATTGTGGTATAACTTGCAAAACGTCCAATGATGCTTCAGAAGAAGATGATAGGAATTTTACTTTAAAGGATACTTGTTTTTTTAGACAATAACTTACTCAACGGGATTCTCAGCGTTGAAATTTAACCCGGATAAGTGAAATGTACACAATAAAACTCCTGTGTATTTGACATTTGTAACATAAAACACTTAGTAGCAAATACTACTGGAAATACCATAAGGCCACAAATGTATCTTTTGCATACATTAAGAAGCCTTTATGAAAGGCTTTAGATTAAAGCCAACTGGACATTTCAAAACTAGGGTTAAATGAGCGTCGGTTCAGATTAGAAAGTATGGATAGCTCTGAAAAGAATCTTTGAGATGTGGGTCAGGACGAACCGAGTGGAGTTCCAAGTGGACAAACCAGCGAGGAACTCACTTGGAACTGGTGTACTTGGTGACGGCCGTGGTGCCCTTGGGCACAGCGTGCTTGGCAGGCACACAGCAGTCTGGATCTCCCTGGAGGTGATGGTCGAGCGCTTGCTGTAATGCGCCCAAAGATATCATTAATGAAGGTGTTCAGGATCCCCATAGCTTTGGACGAGATGCCGGTGTTGGGGGACGTACCTTGTACACTCACACGGAGCAGCTCTCCTTGTGGCCGCGCTTGTACTTCTTGCCTTAGTCACAGCCTTCTTGGAGCTCTTTTTCAGGTCTGGGGCCGACTTGGCGGGGTGAAACGTGCTGTAGTTTAACTGCAAAAAGGGTACAAAGAATAGGAAAAAATCAGATGGGCGCGGCAGGGCACGCCTGTAATCCCAGCATTCTGGGAGGCGGAGGAGGGCGGATCACTTGAGGTCAGGAGCTCCAGAGCGGCGTGAGCAACATGGCGAAACCACGACTCTCCAAAAAAATGTAAAAAATCAGCCGCGCGTGGTGGGGCACGCCTGCAGTCCCAGCAACTGGGGAGGCTGAGGGAGGAGCATCGCTGCAGCCCGGGAGGCGGAGGCTGCAGTCAGCCACGATCGCGCCTGCACTCCGGCCTGGGCGACAGGGCCAGACCCTGCTTCAAAGCAGGAAACAAAAGGCCGGGAGCAGTGGCAGACGGCTGCAGTCCCAGCACGTCGGAAGGCCGAGGCAGGCGCATCACCTGAGGTGAGGAAGTGGAGAGCGGCCTGGCCACCTCGGTGAAACCCCGTCTCTACCGGAACTACAAGAATTCGCCGGGCTGCGGTGGCGGCGCCTGGAATGGTAGGTACTCAGGAGGCTGAGGCCGGAGTATCACTGGAATGCAGGAGGCAGAGGTCTCCAGCCTGGGCGACAGGGAAAATCTGTCTCAAATAAATAAATAAATAAAAACAAGGCAGAGTTTTGCGTAGTGTAACCTTTAATTCCCGAATTCTTATGGAAACGAGGTGATTACTGTGTAGGACTGGTGGCGCTTCTAGATGACGTCAGATGCCCCTTTGTCCAATCCAAAGAAGCGTACTTAACATCAGCGATTCCATTGGCTTAAATACAGTTGTAATTTGAGCCAATCGCACAGCTTTATTTTCGCGCCCGGCATTGACTATAAGTAGCGGAGCTCTGTTAACTTTCTCTAAACTGTTCTTTGCTCTTCGTGGATCCGTTCTTCTTCATGTCCGGACGCGGCAAGCAGGGCGGCAAAGCCCGCGCCAAGGCCAAGACCCGCTCCTCTCGGGCCGGGCTCCAGTTCCCCGTGGGCCGCGTGCACCGCCTGCTCCGCAAGGGCAACTACGCCGAGCGGGTCGGGGCCGGCGCGCCGGTCTACCTGGCGGCGGTGCTGGAGTACCTGACCGCCGAGATCCTGGAGCTGGCGGGCAACGCGGCCCGCGACAACAAGAAGACCCGCATCATCCCGCGCCACCTGCAGCTGGCCATCCGCAACGACGAGGAGCTCAACAAGCTGCTGGGCCGGGTGACAATTGCTCAGGGCGGCGTCCTGCCCAACATCCAGGCCGTGCTGCTGCCCAAGAAGACCGAGAGCCACCACAAGGCCAAGGGCAAATAATGTCTCCCTGAATCACTTTTCCAGTACAACGGCTCTTTTCAGAGCCACCTACTATTTCTGCGGAAGTGCTGGGCCACTGGTTTAAGTCAGATGTGAATAAGTCATTTTATATTCCCTGAGTTTATTCATCCAGTGTTACATGTATTAGAGCCAACAATAAAGGCCAGGGCCACGTGCAGTGGCTGACGCCTGCAATCCCTACACTTTTGGAAGTAGAGGCAGGAGAATCACTGAACTCGAATTCGAGATCTGCCTGGGAAGCGTAGCGGAACCGTCTCTACAAAAATTAGCCTAGCGTAGTGGTGCACGCGTATAGTCCTAAGGCTGAAGTGGGAGGGTTCGCTTGAGCCCTGGAGGTTGAGGCTGCAGTGAGTCGAGACCACCGCACTAGGCGCCAGCCTGGGTGACACAAATGGCAACTGGCTTTCATCTGTGCAGATGTTTTAATTTTTAAAATACCCAAATCGGCGTGTAGCTTGAAACTTGCTACTTCCGCCAACCTCCATTAGTGGTGTGCGTGGGGAACACATTTTATTAACGCCAAAGCAGCTGGCGCCTAAACAGCTTAAACGCGGGGAAAACTGATGAAAAACTGACCAATCAGAATACAGAGCGGGCTTTTTGAGCTTAAACTTTTCTGTAGCCAGGCTAGAAAGCATACCAACTCTCTAAAAGCACCAGCTGGGATTCATACTTTAATGACGGATTGCTTTGGGAAATTGCATGGAGGGTCCAGCCAGCAAGCCGGGCCCCTGCTTGCCTAGCATGACCCCATTAAGCTCAGGGGAGAAAAACTGCCCGAGATACTCTAACGCAACAAATCTCTCTGCATAATCGTGTTTATTAACCACATTTCTGCATAAGGCAGAGAGAAGGCAAAGTCATTTTGTGCACAGCAATTTTTAAGAGATCTCTAGGTGGCTCTGAAAAGAGCCTTTGGGGCTTGGTTGCGGTTTTCACATGCCAGCTTCCTACTTCTTTTTCGCAGCCGCCTTCTTGGCCTTTGCAGCTTTAGGTTTTGCTGCTTTCGGCTTAGAGGCTTTGGGCTTTGCTGCCTTCGGCTTAACAGCCTTGGGCTTGGCAGGACTCTTCGTTGCCTTTTTCGGCTTGGCGGCGGCCTTGGCTTTCTTAGGACTCTTCGCCACTTTTTTTACTCCAGCCGCCGCGGGCTTCTTCGCCTTCTTCGGAGTCTTCTTCACTGACTTTTTCGTTCCTGCAGCCTTCTTGGGCTTCTTAGGGGTGGCCCCCGCGGGCTTCTTAGCTTTGGCGGCGCCCGCCTTCTTGGTCTTGGGCTTGGCTTCCCCGGAGGCCGCCTTCTTGTTGAGCTTGAAGGAGCCGGAAGCACCGGTGCCCTTGGTCTGCACCAGGGTGCCCTTGCTCACCAGGCTCTTGAGACCAAGCTTGATGCGGCTGTTGTTCTTCTCCACGTCGTAGCCACCCGCCGCTAGGGCTTTTTTAAGGGCGGCCAGAGAAAGGCCATTGCGCTCCTTAGAAGCGGCCACAGCCTTGGTGATCAGCTCTGAGACTGGGGGGCCGGTCGCTTTGCGCTTAGCCGCGCCGGCCGCCTTCTTAGTTGTCTTCTTCTTAGCCGGGGACTTCTCCACCGGCGCCGGGGTGGCTGTCTCGGCAGGAGCGGTTTCAGACATGGCTACAAGAAACTGCTAGAAGAGACTAAGCTCAAAATCCAAAGAGCAAGTTTTGCATTGCTGCTATGCTCGTGGCCCAGGGCTTATATAAGCCGGAGCTGCCCTGTGATTGGTGGAGCGTCCAATCCACCGCCCTCCGGCCGCCGCAGCTCGCGGTTGGACTCCCAAATTGTGTTTGTTAGTTCTCAAAATTTGATTAAATGCTTGAAATAATGATACAGAATTTGGCACTTTGAAGCTCCAAAGGAGGAAAACAGCCTCCAGGTTCACATACTTGTTTGTGTTTTCACGAATCTCGTGCAATTGATGAAAGATATTTTTAAAAAACCCCTTCAGCTTTTTGAAAGACTCCATTGGACTGAGGGCATCATGTTAGTTAGTTGGGTATCATGATAAATTTCTACTAAGTATCCGGAGAAACTTATTTTTAAAAATTTGCCCGTGAGTTCACGCTTTGATTTTTGCGGGAGAAAAGACAGTGTGTTTCTTGGTTTGGGCATGAACTTTGTTTCTAACTGTAGCAAGTAACACAGGCACAGGGCAGCTGGTTGCCTACAGCCCCAGCTCAACCACATAGACTTGACTTTACAAACTGATTCTGTGTCCCAGGAGCTCCCATGTGCTGGAAGAGTGTCTTTACAGAATGGGATTGTGCAGCTTGGAAGAGTTCCACTGTCAGAGTGACTGCATTGTAGCACGAGTAACAAAAATCGCTTTAAGAATCCAACTGCACAGATTCAAATTCAAACTTACGTGTGATATGTTTTCTGATTAAAGTATTTTCTCTGTTTAGTTCCTGGGAAAATCCATGAAAATGGGGAAGAAAAATAGTATAGATAATTCAGTTTAGAAAGAATTCAAATCTGTAGAAAATTATTCAAGAGCTCCCAGTGATCCTCAGATGCACAAACTGTTTGGTGACCCAGGTCTCTGTCAGGTTTTCAAAATGTTTTCACTGCGCCCCCTGAATCTCCATCCACATTTAACAAGCTGCATCATCAGGAATACTCTCTTCTGTAAGCAGCTAGGATACATCAATGTGGGAATGTTTGTGTGTTTAAGTGCAGACAGACTAATATTTTAGAAGAATATCTGGCTATTGACTGTTAAAAGGTTGTATTGGATATTGAGAGACTTCAGATTATAGAGGTTCATAAAAACTCAGGAAAACAACGGAGGCAAATACAGTGAGGTGGAAATGAATGTGAAGTTTGCTATTTATGGGAAGTGTAGGGGAATGGACAGGATGCCTGAATGATAAAAGATAATGATTTGGATCTCTAATGAAATAAACAGTCGCTTGTTTCTTACCCTGGAAATGCTGTGCAAGAAAACTTAAAGAGGCCAGCACAGTCCCTCTTCTCTCCATGAACTCCTGCAGGTGCTGGCAGACTGTGGCCAAATCTGGGCAATGGCTTCTTCCTGTACGGCCCTCAAGCTAAGAAGTGTCCTTAAAAAGGTCACACATGGTGGTTCCTGCCTGTAATCCCAGCACTTGGGGAGACCTGGATAGGTGGGTTGCTTGAGCTCAGGAGTTCCAGACCAGCCTGGGCAACATAGTGAAATCCCATCTCTACTAAAAATACAAAAACCATTGCCGGGTGTGGTGGCACATCCCTGTAGTCTTAGCTACCGGGCAGGTGGAGATGGGAGGATCACTTGAATTCAAGGTATCAAAGCTGCAGTGAGCAGTGATAGCACCATTGCACTCCAGATCCTCCCAAAAAACAAGCAAACTAAACACTAAAAAGAACATGTGACAGAGACTAGATATGGCCTTTAAACCCTAAACTATTATCTAGTTGTTATAAATTTCTCCACAGAGATGCAGATATTGCTCTAGGCCTCTTACCAAACAATGCAAATTGAGAACTAAGGAAGAGGATATCTTCACAAGAAAATATTCTAACCAAGCACTTTCCACTGTTGCATACAAAAAACGTATAAGGTGCAAGAGAAAAAAATCCCAAAACTCCATGGGTAATGGTAGCAGGGGTATAATAATAAGAGCTGATACTCATTCAGCATTTATTAGTGCCAGAAAGTCACCTTAAATATGTTCTACAGGTTTTTGTTAATTTGCCACATTTACAGCTATACAAGATGAGGCCCAGAGACAATGAATAACTTGCCAAAGTTTATACAGGTACGAAGTGGCAGCTCTGAGTTTTAAACCTATGAAATGGCATCAGCTCCATTCTGGAGGGAAAATCCTTGAAGAGGTGAGGAGAGAACTATCTTCAAAGCTTGGAAGAGGCAGTGTCAAGCTGTTCCTACACCTCGCAGACAGCCACTAAAAGAGTTCTAAGTAAATTGTTGGAAAAAGCTTCTGGCCCCATGGGTTAGAAGTGGTTTGTTTGTTTGGTTGGTTGGTTTTTGTGTTTTTTTGGTTTTTTTTTTTTTGGTTTGTTTGTTTTGGTTTCTTGGGGTTTTTTTTCTGGAACCAAATCTTAAGTTTCCAAAACTCTTACAGGTATCCAACCCTTTGAATGTGAGGACTTTTTTGCTTATCTGTGTTGGTGGATATGACAAAAATTATGCACAGGTCTTTTCCTCTTTCTCTTTCTTTATTTCTTTTCTTTCTCTTTCTTTCTTCAGCTATCCTTAGTGATCATGTATTTTCTGTGTGGCCCAAGACAATTCTTCCAGTGTGGCCCAGGGAGGCCAAAAGGTTGGATACTGCTGTACCAGTTGCTGGGGTAGACACCTCTTTGCAAGAGTGAACCTAATATAAGAAAGAAGAGAAGGTGTGATGGGGCCTGAGCTGGCTGAGAGCACTCAGGAGAAAAATTGCCTTCACATCTCTGCCAGATATCTCCTAGGTCAAGATGTGTACTTCAAAAGGCTAAACAGCAAAATGAGGTCATGATAGTCACATATGAAGAGCACCTGAGGAAACGCTAAACAGCTGGAAATACTGGACAAGTTTGATTAGAAACCAGGAAGAGCTTTAAAATACCACTTGAATTTTAATATTCAGACCGCTTCTCACTGAAAATAAAACAAAAACAAACAAAACAAAAACTCATGAAAATTCAACTTCACACTTTACGACAAGCACATTGTAAAATGACAGTGAAATCTGTGTGTGTGTCAGGGTGGGGGGTTGTTGTTTTTGAGACACAGTCTTGCTCTGTTGCCAGGCTGGAGTGCAGAGGCCTGATGTTGACTGACTGCAACCTCTGCCTCCCAGGTTCAAGCGATTCTCCTGCCTCAATCTCCCCAGTAGCTGGGACTACAGGTGCGGTTTCACCATGTTAGCCAGGATGTTCTTGATCTCCTGACCTTGTGATCCACCTGCCTTGGCCTCCCAAACTGCGGGGATTACAGGCGTGAGGAACTGGCCCGGCCTGAAAGTTATGTTTTTTTGTTGTTTGTTTGAGATGGAGTCTCACTCTGTTGCCCAGGCTGGAGTGCAGGGGCTTGATCTCGGCTCACTGCAACCTCCACCTCCCGGGTTCAAGCGAGTCTCCTGCCTCAGCCTCCCGAATAGTTGGGACTATAGGTGCTTGCCACCACGCCTGGCTAATTTTTGTATTTTTAGTAGAGACAGGGTTCCACCATATTAGCCAGGCTGGTCTCAAACTCCTGACTTCGTGATCCACCCGCCTCAGCCTCCCAAAGTGCTGGGATTGCAGGCCTGAGCCACCCCGCCCTGCCCGGAAATATTTTTTAAGGTCCACTTACAGAGCAAGAAGTTCATTTCGCAGATGACAGCATGCAGCAGGTTAATGATTCTGTCTTCTGGGGCCCACATGGCTTGCTAAACATTACATTGAAACAGAACAAAAGTGTGCTTTTGGTCAAAACTGTTACTTGCAGAAATTTATGGGGGTGGAAGGGCAACTTTCTTACATGCATAGGTTCCATGGTGGTCAAGTTACATAGGGTATACAAGAGCTAAATAAATTGTACCAACTAAGTAACTTATTCACTCTCTCCTCCCTTCTGAGTCCTCATTGTCTATTGTTACACTCTCTCACAGGTGAAGTTTTTAGAGGCTGTTTTTGTTGATGTTTGTTTTTTTGAGACGGAGTTGGCTCTGTCGCCAGGTTGGAAAGCAGGGGCGCGATCTCAGCTCACTGCAACCTCCGCCTCTCGGGTTGAAGCCATTCTCCTGCTTCAGCCTCCTGAGCAGCTGGGACTGACAGGCGCCTGCCACCGCGCCCGGCTAATTTTTGTATTTTTAGTAGAGATGGGGTTTCAACACCATCTCTCGATCTCCTGACCTGGCAATCCGCCCCTCTTGGCCTCCCAAACTGCAGAGATTACAGGGTGAGCTCGGCGCCCAGCATAGAGCCTGTGGTGTTTTCTGAGACGGAGTTTCGCTGTTGTTGCCCAGTCTGGAGTGCAATGCGGGGGATCTCGGTTCACCTCAACCTCTCCTGCGTTCTAGCGATTCTGCTACCTCAGTCTCCAGAGTACCTAGGTTTACAGGTGCGCGCCACCACACCCGGCTAATTGTAGTTTTAGTAGAGGCCGCGTTTCTCCACTTTGGTGAAGCTGGTCTCGAGTTCCTGACTCCAGATGATCTGCCCGCCTCGGTCTCCCAAAGTGCTCTGACTACAAGCGTGAGCCACCCGCCCGGCTAAGACTGTTTCTTAAACACTCATACTGCTTGTTCCCTTCGTTAGGGGCAGGTAGCTAAGTAGCATATACATTCCTCAAGAATAAGAACAGGAATGCTTTTCAAAAGTAAATCTCCTTAACAGTTAGGAGTAGGTTCTGTAAAGGGAATCGGGTTAGCATACCAGCCTGTGACCTGTCTCCTGACTTTACAGCGTTGAGCCAACACGTTTTGTATGTAACTTGCACTTAAAACAGGGTTAAGACAGTTTCAAAAGCTACAGCTTTCTTTTGCTGACAATTGAGGGGCTCTGAAAAGAGCCTTTTGGGGTGGGGAAGACTTTTTGGGCTGTTATAAACAAAGTTATGCCCTCTCGCCTCGGATACGACGCGCGAGCTGGATGTCCTTGGGCATGATAGTCACCCGCTTGGCGTGGATGGCGCACAGGTTGGTGTCCTCAAAGAGCCCCACCAGGTAGGCCTCGCAGGCCTCCTGCAGCGCCATCACCGCGGAGCTCTGGAAGCGCAGGTCGGTCTTGAAGTCCTGCGCGATCTCGCGCACCAGGCGCTGAAAAGGCAGCTTTCTGATCAGCAGCTCGGTGGACTTCTGGTAGCGGCGGATCTCGCGCAGGGCCACGGTGCCGGGCCGGTAGCGGTGCGGCTTCTTCACGCCGCCGGTGGCCGGAGCGCTCTTGCGGGCAGCCTTCGTGGCCAGCTGCTTGCGCGGCGCTTTGCCGCCGGTGGACTTGCGGGCTGTCTGCTTAGTTCTTGCCATGGCTAAGTAAACCCAACTACTCCCCGCAAACGAGAAAAAAAAATTGACCATCCCGGTATTTATAGCCGCCCTCGCATTCTGATTGGACAGTAGACTGTGGCGTGTTACGTCTCACTCACAGAATTGGCTCCCAGTTGAATCCGCTGTTGAAAGGGAAACATTCCGCCTCTGCTGTGCGTCAAGAAACGTAAAATGGGTTTTGCGAGCAAAACAAAAATGGAAACAAAAAACCCCCAAAACTGTAGGATTTTTCATGCATCAAAATCCTATTTCAATGTCAGCTTGAAGATCTAAACTTGCCTTACACTATTTTAACTGTTAGGCGTCACTATTATTTGACAAAAAGTTTAAGATCGTGAAAGAAAAGTGAAACGAGTAAATTTGTAAATGAAGGCACTGAAGGGAGTATGAAATTCGAGCCTTGCGGTATGCCAGTATTTCTGATTTAAACGTACTTAATGTTTTGAGGGTGGACCGACTTTCTGCGAAGGGCGATAGTGAAGCATTTTGGGTGTTGCGGACCACGCTGTCAGTTACACGGCCCTTGCAGTTGAAGTAATCCATACAAGCTACATGAACCCGGCCGTTATGCTATCGTAGCTTCTGGAGAAATCAGAGACGTTATACATCTGGTCGTCTATCAGAGGATCCGGCACTTCTAACCACTAGGTGATGCCGAAAGGGGCACTGAGTTGCAGTAACCTTGGCGACTGTTTATGTAAAACCGCGATTTTGACAAAACTGCCAAATGTTTAGGTGTTAGGAAATCAAGGGCCTTTAGTCTACAGCTCTTTCACAGATTTCATGGGTGGCCCTGAGAAGGGCCTTGGAGGAACGGGATAAGCAAGTGAAACGCTCAGCCGCCGAAGCCGTAGAGCGTGCGGCCCTGGCGCTTGAGCGCGTACACCACGTCCATGGCGGTGACCGTCTTGCGCTTGGCGTGCTCCGTGTAGGTCACGGCGTCCCGGATCACGTTCTCCAGGAACACCTTGAGCACCCCGCGGGTCTCCTCGTAGATGAGGCCGGAGATGCGCTTCACGCCGCCGCGGCGAGCCAGGCGCCGGATGGCGGGCTTGGTGATGCCCTGGATGTTGTCGCGCAGCACCTTGCGGTGGCGCTTGGCGCCGCCTTTCCCCAGCCCCTTCCCGCCTTTGCCGCGGCCAGACATACTTCGTTCTAAGGAGAACGCAAGAAAGCGACCCTCGCAGCAGCAGTTTATATAGTGATAAGTCGGACCTGATTGAGAACTCTCACACCAGCTGCATCCGGTCACTTAATTTACAGACCTTGAGCCCTGCCCACGACTTCAGGAAAACATAGAAAGGGCGGTGCTTAAACTCGAGATTCTAAAAATGATGCCCAATTAAAAATACTCCGTTCACCTTGCCCTTCCACAGTGTTTTGCGCTGAGCACCGCTGCAGGGATTTTCCTTTGAGTCTTCGCTGTCTGTTTTCCCTGTCACCTCTAAGCATCCATTGCTCTAGTGCCTTGTGGCTGCTGGAACCTAGTGGCGCTCTCTCTAGAGGGATAATCACAGTGGCTTGGGGCATTTGTGAAATAGTGTGTAGAAACTGCTTCCTACAATCTCAAAGTGATCAGCCTGTGGAGTGGCTGACTGCAAAGGACGACGCCTGATGAGAGGTTGAAGGTGAAATTTCTCACCTTTTCTCAAATTTGGTTCTCTTTTATTTTCCTTAGGTTTTGCTCTTTCTGTAGCCGTCCTTTCTTTCTTTCTCTCCCTCGCTGACCACATTTTTGGGGGAAAAACTGACTTTCTATATTTTTCCTCATTCACCTAGAAACACTTCAGGAAGCTGGTTGAGGAAGAAAGGTGGCTTTTACCCTCTATTTTCTTATAGTGGTGGACATACCACTTGAGCTCCCCCATTCTTTTCTGTTGAACTAGGAAATCAGCTGTGCCCAGAAACCCTGTCTTTTAAACTTACAAATAAAGTGCAGGAGGGAGAGACCAAGGATGACTTTATTCCAATAAAAAGAGTTTCAAAGGGAGAGTGTTGGGTGACTTTCTTGACCTAAGGCGTTTGGAATCACCTTTCTCTCGCCCTGACTTGCACACCTCCAGATATCAGATTTTCTCTCTGCTGACATTCACTCTTTTTCTTCCTGAACATCAGTAACGTTTACCTTTTATATTTCAAATATGTTTGATTATTTACTCCTTTAATAATCTAATTTTATTCTAAAAATCAGTCTCTTCGAGTATATTATAAACTATGTTTTCTGTATGTACAAAACATTACATACTCATGTTCTGTTAATCAATTTCTCACTGAACTAGGCTGGATTCTTTTTCCCCCTCTTTCAACAGTGGAACCTAGGTCCTTAACCTTGGAGGTTTAAATCCTGTGTCTCTTGTGGCCCATTAATCTCAGCAATTCCTCTTTTCCAACTACAGAAAAATGAGGCAGCATTAAAATGCACTGTTCTTGTATATGTTATTTTATAACAAACTATTTCAAGATGAAATCTGGAAGCATTGAAAAACCTCTTAAATGCCCCTTTATGTGGTAAAAGAAACTGTAGTATATGAAACTTTCCTTTTACACTGTTAGACTTTGTAGTTGGGCCCTACAAATTAAACTGACAAAAGACAGATCAATAGGGGAAAATATTTATTGTTATACATATCCATGTGGCAGCCTTCACAGAAAGCGAGTAAAAGCCCAAGGAGGCAGACAGACAGTCATGGGGGTTTGTAAACCATTTTAAAGAGGGGGTCGTTTCCTAGCGGAGTAAATTGTGGGAAGGAAAATATATGGAATAAACTAATGGAAGATAAGGGATAAGGATTATCTAATACAGTCTTGTATGCAGCTTCAAGTCATCTCAGGTGGCAAGAATTGTCTCTGGGGGCCATTCTCCTCTTCTGGTATAACCAAGGAGGACATCTTTACCAAGGGAAATGTCTTTTATAAATGGAAGTTTTGTTCGTTTTTGTTGTTTTTCTTTTACAAAACAGAAACTTTTACCATTTTCAGTGCTTTTTCTGTATCGGCTGTTTCTCAAAATAATTCTTATAGCCAAGTGGCATATTTTTGGGGAGGAATATTCTGGTTCCTTGTATAACATCGTGTAAAACAAAAGGTATCAATTTAGAAAGTTTATTTTACCAAGGCTAAGGATGCACCCGTGACACAGCCTGAGAAGGTCCTGGCAACATGTGCCCAAGGTGGTTGGGGTACAGCTTGCTTTTATACATTTTAGGGAGACATAAGATATCGATCAATATGTGTAAGATGTACGTGGGTTTGGTCCGGTAAAGCAGGACAACTCCAAGTGGGGGCTTCCAGGTTAGAAGAGGAGTCAAGACAAAAGGTGGCATTATTTTGAGTCCTTGATCAGCCTTCCACTGAATAGACAATTTAGTCTGGTAAAGTGAATCTGCATTTTTACATATACAATAGGGCAGAGGGAGCAATCAGATACACATATGTCTCAGTTGAGCCTCAGAGGGATGACTTTGAGTTCTCTGTATCCTTTGTCCACAAGGAATTTCCTTGTGGGAATATTGCAAGGGAGGTTTATAGCTTTTTATTGTAGCTATCTTATTTAGGAATAAAATGAAAGGCAGGTTTGCCTGACACAGTTCACAGCTTGACTTTTCCTTGGCTTAGTGGTTTTGGGGTACTGAGATTTATTCTCCTTTCACAATCCTTTGAAAGATCTCTGGTTTACTTGATTGCCTAGAAAATATTTTGCCCTTGGGCATGAGGTGGCTCACTCCTGTAATCCCAGCACTCAAGGAGACTGAGGTAGGTGGATCACCTTAAGTTAGGAATTTGTGACCAGCTTGGCCAACATGGTGAAACCCTGTCTTTACTAAAAATACATACAAAAACTAGCTGGTCATAGTGGCACATGCCTGTAATCCCAGCTATTCAGGAGGCTGTGGCAAGAGAATTGCTTGAACCCAATAAGCAGAGGTTGCAGTGAGCAGAGATCGCACCACTGAACTCCAGCCTAGGTGACAGTGCAAGACTCCATCTCAAAAAAAAAAAAAAAAAAAAAAGTTTTGCTCTAGGAGTATTTACATTTTGGAGGGCTCAGAACATAATGCCTCAAAGTATGGCATCTTTGTATGCTGAGTACTTTCTCCTGTCGTTTCTCTGCTGGAAGGGAGTCATAGAAACCAGAAGGTCTCTTTCCCAAAGCAGGTCATGGAAACTACAACTCCTCTCCCCCAAAGCAAGCCTTAAAACCTAGAAAGTCACTGTCCCTTCTCCCTTGAAGACTCTCATTCCAAAGGCGTCCTGCCATACCTGGAGGACAGGATGCTACACACAGAGGTGGAGAAGAATCTGAACAGACAAGCCGTGCTGTTTCTTCAATACTGTCTTTGCCTAATCACATTTCTAAATGTCTCTCTATTCTTCATTGGAGGTATCTATGAAAACAGACAGTTTTCCTTGGGTCTTTGGAGCTTCATTTCTAAAGTCTCCAGTGTCAGGTAAAACTTTGATTAGATCCATTTCTTATGCTTTTCATTTGTTAACCTCTTTTTTGTCATAGTTCAAGCTGTGAACCTTTGGGTCTCACACCTTTCTGTGCCCTACAACACTGACATTTGTGTTTTTCAAAGGTGTACATTCTTTTTCTTTTTTTTTTTCTTGAGATAGGATCTTGCTCTGTCAAAGGCTGGAGTGCTAATCTTCCCACCTTAGCCTCCCCAGAACCTGGGACTACAGATCTGAGCCACCACCCATGCCCAACTACTTTTAGTATTTTTTGTAGAAATGGGGTTCCACCATGTTGCCCAGGCTGGTCTCAAACTTCTGGGCTCAAGCGATCCACCTGCCTCAGCCTTACAAGCTGCTGGGATTACAGAGGTGAGCTGCAACATACCGCCCCTTGTGAATTCTCTATGTTAAATCAGATACTTTATATCCCTATTGGTTAATTGAGATACATTGTGTATTTTTTTTTTTTCACATTAAAAAAGAGTTGTATTGCCCGAGGCAGGCAGATCACTTGAGGCTATTGAAGCTAGAAGAGCGAAACTAGCCTGGCCAACTTTTAGTGGAGAGCAAGTGAAACCTAATCTCCACTAAAAACACACAAAAAATTAACCAGGCATGGTGGCCTGTGATTGTAACCTGTTAGGAGGTTGAGGCAAGAGAATCACTTGAACTCAGGAGGCAGAGGTTGCAGTAAGCCAAGAGTGCACTATTGCACTCCAGCCTGGGTGACAGCAAGAAAAGAAAAGAAAATGTTGTACTTCTAGCATCTTTCAAGATTGACTAGAAGAAAAAGAAAACAAAAGAAAGAAACAAATTGGCCAGGCACGGTGGCTCACGCCTGTAATCCCAGCACTTTGGGAGGCTGAGGCCTGCACACAAGATCAGATGAAGCAGTTTATCAATCTGGGTGGTGCCTGCTGACTCATCAAGTGCTGATCTTAGGAGCAGTTTAAGCAGATCTGCATCTTTTAGCCTCCAGTTGCCTGACTCCTACACCATAATTTCAAATCCTGCGGCTAATGTTTGCATCTAGTCCCCAGGCAAGAAGGAGGTCTGCCCTGGGAAAGGGCTATTATAGGTCTTTTTTTTTTTTTTTCTTTTGAGACAAGAGTCACTCTATCACCCAGGCTGGAGTTCAATGGCGCGAAACAGTGCGATCTCGGCCCTCTGCAACCTCTGCCACCTGGGTTCAAGTGACTCTCCTGCCTCAGCTGGGATTACGGTGCCTGCTACCACACCTGGCTAATGTTTGTATTTTTGGTAGAGACGGAGTTTCACCATCTTGGCCAGTCTGGTCTTGAACTCCTGACCTCGTGATTCACTGACTTTGGCCTCCCAAAGTGCTGAGATTATAGGCATGAGCCACCACGCATGCCCAGCCTGTAGTCTTTGTTTTAAACTATAAACTAACTTTCTCCCAAAGTTAGTTCAGTCTACGCCCAGCAATGAACAAGGACAGCTAGGAGGTTAATTTTGTATTTAGTGGAGTTCGAGGGCAGCCTGACCAAATGCTGTTAGGTTGTTGATGCCAGCCAGGGCCCATGCCCCTACCACCATTGCCAGAAAGAATCAAAGGACAAGTCAGAAAATAGTGAAAGTACAGAGGTTTATTGCAAAGTGAAAATAAGTGCTCAAGAGAGCCAGTCTTGCCCAGCAGTGATTAGGGCTTCAATCTTTATGGGTTTCTTTAACCAAGGAATGGAATATTCATGAAGATGTCTGGAAAAGGGTGACAATTTCTCAAAACTTTTCCATGAAAAATGGGTGTTTTTGGAACTGTCATGGCATTGGTGGGTATCGGATTTCTACGTTAAGTATATAATGAGGTCCCAGGTGAAACCTAGGTCAAATCCCATGCCACGGTGGGTCAAGTAGGACTGAGCCAGCTTGGCCAACAGTCCGGTTTTCAGGGTCTTTTTGGCCCCTAGCTTGTGCAGCTATTTCAAGTTTCCTTTTTGCTAGTGATGTGAAACTGCTGCCTGGAATTTTCTATTCTCTTGTGACCACCCTAATTGACATTTGTATACCATTGTGAGACTACAGAAAGAAACAAGGTCTTGGACTTCTGGGGGGGTTGGAAGAGGGTGGTGACACAAGTGGTCAGAGGGTGAGGGAGGAAATGCAAAGGCACCAAGGAAGGAAAGGCAAAGGTTTTCTTGCTATGTAGATAAAGTCTCTCAAGTAATCTCAGAAGAATAGCTGACTGCCTGTGACAAACTAGTTTCCTCTCCTTTCAATCAATCTTCCTCTTTAGGGAGGGAAAAGGGGCCTCCGAGAAAGCCAGTACGTGCAACCACCATTTACTGATGTAGATTTCTTTTATAGGTATAAATTTCTTTTACAAAAGTCTTTCAGAGCTTTTCTGTCTGCAGTCTGCAGTTTCTCTGAGGACTGCTACCTGTGGGGTTTCCATCCACATAACAAGACTGCCCCTTGCTAGCCAAGCCTCTTCCTCTCTGCCTCACATCATGTTTTGCCAGGATCCAATCTTGCATACTTTGTGTAACCTCAAGGTGGCATATAAACTTACGTGCCTCATTGGCAGGTAGGTCTTAATTTCGAAACTTCCCGTGTCTATGTGCTAAATACACTTGTATGCCTTTTCTATTAATCAACCAGTCTCAAGTCAGCGATTTTCAGCGAGCTTCCGGGGGGCCAAGGCCAGTGTAACCCTTTCCAGTTAAGAAATCTAATTGTTACCTAGAGTACTGGCCGAAAGAACACCATGAGCAGGAAGGAATTCATACCACCTTGTACATAGATTTGTTGATCTTTCCTCGAGAAAGTGAGATCTTTAGCCTTCCTTATACCCAGAGAAATACCATCTTAAAAGCAGAGTTTCCCACTGCTTTAAAGTTGCACTTAAGACACTTCAACCTGTGGTGTAACAGCTATTCCCATTGAGAACATAAGTGGCTCTGAAAAGAGCCTTTGGAAATAGAAACCCATGCTCGAGCAGGGGATTACGCCCTCTCGCCGCGGATGCGACGCGCGAGCTGGATGTCCTTGGGCATGATAGTCACCCGCTTGGCGTGGATGGCGCACAGGTTGGTGTCCTCAAAGAGCCCCACCAGGTAGGCCTCGCAGGCCTCCTGCAGCGCCATCACCGCGGAGCTCTGGAAGCGCAGGTCGGTCTTGAAGTCCTGCGCGATCTCGCGCACCAGGCGCTGAAAAGGCAGCTTTCTGATCAGCAGCTCGGTGGACTTCTGGTAGCGGCGGATCTCGCGCAGGGCCACGGTGCCGGGCCGGTAGCGGTGCGGCTTCTTCACGCCGCCGGTGGCCGGAGCGCTCTTGCGGGCAGCCTTCGTGGCCAGCTGCTTGCGCGGCGCTTTGCCGCCGGTGGATTTGCGGGCCGTCTGCTTCGTCCTGGCCATAGTGAAGGAAGCTTTGCTCTCACAGCGAGCAACTGAGCGAGTAGTGGCTTCTGCCAGAATTTATAACGATGATCTGATCCTGATTGGTCAGAACTCTTGTAGGACTAACCTGATTGGTTCTTAGTACAATCTTCATTTGTTCCTGTCACGCCCTCTTTCTTTTTTTCTATTCTGCTAAGGGTGCAGTGCAGTGACCCCTCAGCTCACTGCAACCTCCGCCTTCTGGATTCAAGCGATTCTGCCTTAGCCTCACGAGTAGGTAAGACTACAGGCACTTGCCATGACGCTCAGCTAATTTTTGTTTTTAGTCTATAGAGATGGGGGTTTCACCATGTTGGCCAGGCTGGTCTCAAACTCCTGACCTCAAGTGAATGGTTCGCCTCAGGCTCCCAAAGTGCTGGGATTACAGGCGTAATCCGCGCCCGGCCTCCCTACCAGTTTTATTTATTGTTTTTAAACAATCATGTTAACATTCCCCCAACAAAAAGAGAATCTGACCTAGAATTTGTGTAAGTCAGTCGTAGTCTTAAACTCGTTTCCAATGGATCATTTTTCCTATTTCGGTATTGTGTAAAAATATATACAGTAGAACAATGTATTTGTTAGTATTTCCAAATAGTAGTTCCGTTTTGTAACTGCTTCATTAAATCTTTTAGCGACTGTACCAAGACCCAGAACAAAAACAGTTTAAACTTAGGCTGGCACATTGTCCCCTAAAACACCAAAGCCATAGTTTTGCCCAACGTGGTGTGGGGAAGGAGTATGGTAGGTGCTTGATCAAATGATACCAATGAATGGTTCCTGACATTTTCATTAACTGAGTCTAACGCAATCCAGTGGTTGATTGGATTAATTATGTAAATCATTGCTTAATTTAATTAGGTTTCGGTCAGTGATTACATTTTTGCCAGTGAATCTGGGTAGTTCTGACAACACCATTTTATTAGGACGGAAATTTTAATGTTAATCAAAGGACCCACCAGGCTCTGGTACTGATAAAGACGCATAAAAACAAAAAGGTTGGCTTAACGTTTGTTATAGTCATAGGAGCAAATAATCACTAGAAATAACTTTTGATTGGGTTTTGTTTTTCCTTTTGAGACGGGGTCTCGCTCTGTCGCCCAGGCTGGAGTGCAGTGGCTCACTGAAACCTCCTGGGGCTAAAGTGGTCCTTCTGCTCTGGTGATTCACGAGGGTCACCGCGCCAGCACTTTTAGAGGGAGGGATCTCGTTATGATCAAGGTGATCTCGAACTCCACGCCCCGAGAGATTTCTCCCCTCCCCACTCACCTACCTGTTTTCCAAAGTGCTGAGACTACTCGGGTAAACCACAGCGCCCGGCCCCAAAATGTTCTTTAAAGATGCAGGAGGATCTGGAGAAGAGACAATAAACGAGGATGCTTCCATGTTATTATGATGTAGCAATTCTTTTTCCATTTTACCTGTACATGTCAAGGAATATAATGTAGCAATTTAACAGTGTTTACTAGGCCTGAGTCAATACTCATGTTTTACCCAATAGGAAACTAATTACCTCACGTACTTAAACTCGGCCACGAATTTCTGAGACGTTTGGAGAACAAAGTGCTCAGTTCTTCCGCAGAAATGGTGGGTGGCTCTGAAAAGAGCCTTTTGTCTTGCAAATTTACACTTTTAAAGTTCAGCCCTTATTTGCCCTTGGCCTTGTGGTGGCTCTCGGTCTTCTTGGGCAGCAGCAC